CAAAATTTAAACGTTATTCAACTTTTGTGTTTATCGTTATTCAGAATTAAAACGTTACACAATTTTTGCGTTGATCGTTATTTAAAATTTAAAAGTATTTAGATACCTGTTTTAAAAGTACACAGGCCGCAATTTAAAAGTATACGACTGTGACCTTTTTTTGGGGACATAATTTCCCTATTCTGAGTTTTAAGTAGGTATTGTTAAATTTTATTTATTTAATTAAATGGGTTAAACTCAGGGTTAAACTAATATAAAGAAAACGTATGCACGTTAAAACTATAAGTATATTAGTATAAAATATAAATATTAAACATTTGACAACAATTAGACAAACACTGACGAGTGAATAAATCTGAGCAAACTGAACACCGAACACAATAGTTGAATAACTTGAGTGGTAAAAATTTCGACCGTAGTACAAATAGTACAGTACAATATTATCAGAGCATCACTATTATTAGCTATTGGTAATTAAATTATTCTATTAATAACTTCTTATTAAGTTTTAAAATAATATCTAATACGGGATCTCCCAGATAGGCCGGATACGGAATAAAATTAATTCTTGGATAGAATAAATAATTGAATACTACTAAGTATTATTAAATAATTGGGAATTAATTATTTCGTTTAATGGAATACAATATATACCGTTTTGCGTTATGTTTTGTGTTATTTATTTACGTTTATCGTTTTCCGTTATAATTACGTTTACAAATTTCAATCGTTTTTTATCAAATATAACGTTATAATCATAACGTTATTATAGCGTTTGCAAGCCCTGGTTAAAACGAAACTGTACCTTGACGCATGAACAAAAATATTTTGACATTTGATCAGACCATGTAGTGCCTAAACTGTTAGAAAATCTCATGTTTATAGACCGATGTGAGTTGGTTAGGTTATTATATAATATAATATAATATAATATAATATAATATAATATTGCACCTGCAACGGCTGCAACCTGCAAAGTCAATCGGTTATTAAAGAATAAAATTTAGATATCTGTTCAGAATTTTGGACGCAATATAATTAGAGATATGCGAGCGTATAATATATATTATAATAATGGAATTCCATGGTAGTGTTTTAGATGGTGTTGTACCTCTTTGGTTTGCGATATGACTTTAAAATATTCCAAGGATATAGGTAATACATGCTTATAACTTGTACGTTTCTTCTTCTAAATTAACTGGTGGGTAGACGGGGGGGCGTTTGAAATGTGAGTTATATGACCACGACTACGGATTGGCACAAGAATCTTCTTGTGTATGGAGGAGGCAGCTAGTATATTATGAATTTAAATGGTACATTATAGTTTATTGTGGGCAACCGGTGCCTTTTTCTCTAGACAGGGTGAAGGGATTGGTGTATACTGTATATATATATATTAAAAAGGTAATTTTGAAGGCAACTGGTGTATAATATTATACCCCTCTAACAGCCAGCAGCTACTGTACGGCTTAACCACAATATCCAATGAAAATATACATAAAAAAACATTTTACGATAAATCCCTCACGTGTCTGGTCCGTGGATGAAGCACTTCAACGATTTGATCGACCGGGTGATGTTAAACGGTAAAATATAATAATATAATATGTATTTGTGGTGGTATACCAAAATATAGGTAGATAGGTACCTATAAATGTTTATAATACTGAAGTTGCGCTTACTCAACGATCGAATAGATCGTGTAAAAGTGTCTTTTGAAGATTCCTTGGACGCATCGACGAGATATTATATTATTGTTTCTCCGGACTTTGTTAGAGAGAGAGAAAACCATAAATTAGACGTTGTCGAACGGGTGAGCCTCATATTATTATTATTGTTATTATCTACGATCGTTAAACATTTAGCGCCGTGCCTCGTTCGTATGTATACGCGCTTTATTAATTGTTTCTCAGATTATGCAATATATTATTCCCTCAGCGTAATATAATAATAATATTATTATTAACGTCCAACGATTGAGTAGGCTCGTGATGTTTGCGTCGTCTATGTGCGTGTGTGATGAATGCTCTTTTTCCTCTTCTTCGATTTCGAATTAAAAAAAAGAAAACAACCGTGAACGACGATGCGTCGCCGGTCGTTTTAATAGTTTGCCGTGACGGATATCATCATAATTTATAATATCTAACTTAACATTACATGGGCAGGCATTGCTACACACACACACACACACGCACACACACGAGTACTCGACAAACGCATTCATCGACAGATATCATAATAATAATATTATTAAGCGTGCTATATGACGACGATGTGATTTCGATTCGTTCTATAGTGCCTATATTAAACTGTGTAGCACACGTTATATTTTTCAGCAGGCCGAGCGATGCATTTGCGTTCAGTATGAAATTTTCTTTTTAATTAAATGGTTGGTGTGCAATTTTTTTACGACTACGCGTGTGTTAAAAAATGTTGCAATACGTGCCACACGCAGCCGCAGTGAAGTTATAATAATGTTTATAGGTATATACCTACACGTTGCAGTGGTTATTACCTATTATTTTTGTGTATGACATTGTATAATATGACCAATCAACGTGGTGGTTGATGGGCCACGGGCCGTCGTGATAGTTATGGCTACGTTTATTATTACCGTTTTTATACTTTTTGACATCTCGAACCAGAAATTAAGGGGGGGGGTATAATCGTAAGCGACCGTGTATTATCCGAAAATAGAATTATAGGAAATAAAAATTTTTTCTGTAATTGTTAGCACCAAAACTGGAAACTGCAGAACCAAACCGATATTAATCGATGGAAACATTAACCAGATCTGGAACCGAAATAAACGAAATTACTATAAATTCCAAGTCTAGGGGATTTTAAAACTGCCATTTTTCTTTAGAATTTGAACTTATTAGTTATTTTTCAAGTAAAATATGGATTTACCTAAAGGTACAGACGTGGTACACCGGGTGATTTATTTAATTTAAGTTACTCATTATTTGAAAAACTCGTTTAAAAAAATATTTTTTTACATAATTTAAGGTCATTAAAAAAACAAAATTTTTCTAGAAAATGTTTTCTAATCGTTTATCATTTTTAATTTAAAACTTTTTGAAAACATGTATTTTTAATTCTTTATTCCCGAGCAGAATATTTTTTGGAGTAGTTCTATGACTAAAAATTAAATTTTAGACGAGTAGTTTATGAATTATGACTTATGAGTGTTTAAAGTTTATATGGGGCTTAAGGAATGGTGCAGAGGTATCCGGAAAAATGTCGATTATAAACTTGATGTAAATTTCAAATACTTATATGCCGACTAATAAACTACTGGTCCGAAATTTTAGTAGATCTAAATTCTCCGAATAATGTTCAACTTGGAATGCAATATTAAAAACTAATCACGTTGTCCTTCAAAAGCAAAAAACCTTCTGATAAAAAATAATAAAAAGTATAAAGACTTAGAATTATGTAATAGAAACGTTAGTAGTTTCTGATGTAAAGAGGGTCCTAAGAGTTAAACGTTTCACACTGTACCTATGTAAAATATATAGGTATTTTGAACTATATTAAAAAACTAACAATATCGAATATTTCTCTATAGTTAAAACTTTGTGGGTTTCATGGGTTTCGTGGGGTTAAGTTCATCAACCGTCAAAATTGTTTCATTTGTTTGAAATTTTTGTATATGCCTTTTCTTTTAGTAATGGAACCGATTTGAAGGGGTAATTTGAACATTTTGCGATTTTTTTCTTTCATCTATACCAGAGCATTCTCTAATTATTAATCTTATATATATATATAAATAGGTTACATCGTGTGCGATATCATAAACTATAACGGCATTGGATCCAAAAATCAAAATATCAGTCTGTGTGTCTATATCAGTCATGCCCAACCCGCGGCCCGCTGGTCACATGTGGCCCGCCAAGGTATTCCATGTGGCCCGTTACAAATTATTAAAATAAAACAAAATATTCCAAAAAAAGTAAAATTATTACAAAATACGATTTTAATTAATTTATAAATACAAAATACAAAAATAAAAATAAAAAGGATATAAAAATGTTTTTATATTGCAACCTACTATGTGTACCTAACTAAATTATATTAAGATTGAGATTATGAGTACTTTTATATTTGGTGGCCCGCTCGATTACAAATGTTTACCAAAGTGGCCCGCCGAGGAAAAAAGGTTGGGCATCACTGGTCTATATGTTGCACATCATATGGTATAAGTATAATAGTATAAATACTGACATACTGTGCAGGTTAAGACTTAAAGTTCGAGGTGGAGGGTTATAATATTATAGAGTGCGGTGATCGGTCATCGTCGTCGTCTGTGTGATTCGTTTGACTCACCCGAAACTGTGTATTTCCATCGGAAATTCGGTTAATATAATGTAACTCATTAACGCGGCAATAATAACGGGTAACCCACCCAATAATATGACGTTAAATAATAATTAGTAATTACACGGTTTTGGTCGTAGGGATAATGGATTTTTATTTCCAGCCCGATCGATTCACGCACGATAATATTATATTAAAATATGTATTATATCGTAATCATATTATAGTATTGTATCGCACCGAACAGTTTAACAGTCGGTTAAGCAGCTTATGCCTACCCATAACCATGTATATACATATTAATTAAACTTTGGCGAACAACCACATATACTGCTGCAGTGTGCCCGTCGAACGTATTACGGACTTACGGTACACAAAACGACCGATACACGACGATGCTGTCCCAGACGAATATTACCGAATATTGGTCGTGCTCGTGCACATATTTCTTATAATAGCTCACGGTCGATTTAAAGTCGATAGTTATAATAATAGTATTAGAGCTATTAGCTTATAATAAGCGCGTCAACCCTGCACAGCGGTTTTTTCCAATACTTTTTATTAATAATTATTATCAAATTAGTATAAGGTATTATTGTAAAATAATGTATAGGTACAAATCTTAATTATTATTGTTGAACGAAATACGATGATGATAATAATAATAGTAATAATATTACCTTGCATCCTTCACACGTGAACGCTCCGAAATGAAAACCGGCGGCTGGTTCTCCGCACACACGACATAGCTGACTCATCTGCAAACATAATAATATTATGGTAAATTCGATTGAAAAATGTGTGTAGGCACATCCGCCGCCGCGATAGGTATTAGATTAAAATTCACGTTATTGTCATTACCGGAGCTGTGCCTCACAAGTTACAGTAAGTACATCACATTCGCATATAATATTATACTATATACTTATTAAATAATATCTTTATTACTTATATATTATTATAATTATAATTATATGTACGTGCAGTGATTATAATAATTTCCGTGTTCTGCGGCGGCGGCGATGTCAACGCATACATATAATATTATTACTATAATATCGCAGCATCAGAGTATTCTTATGGCGTATAATATGTATATATATATAAATATATATATTTATAAGAATTATTATGCTATACGATCGTTTGTTTTCATTGTATATTATACTATTTCTACTGGTTCGAAAAAAAAACCCGAAGAGAATGAGGAGAGATCAAAAACGCGATACGCGTATTATACCTATAATATGTACGCATTCATATCGTTTAGTTCGTATTTTATTAAAAAAAAAAAAAACGTCTCGAACGGTGCGATTTGCATACGATATTAATGTGTTTTTCAATTGCGAAATTATAGAATCTCCGCATCCTTAAAAATATATATATCCAAGTCAGTTTTGGTATAGGTTATATGGGTACCTATATAGTATATATATAATATGTAATAATTATATACCATTATTTATGGCGCTAAACTGCGCCGTTATACCTACCTATACAACGAAAACTCATCCGCGAGATTTTATAATATATTTTTACCATCATCGAGACGAAAATAATGATAATATAACATTATATTATATTATTATTATTATTATTATTACAACCCGCACCGTTCGAAAACTCGATTAAAAATAAACAAGACCTAGCCCGTCGGAAACTTTAATGGCGGCCGAGGTTTAATATAATAATATAATATACGCCGTCGTCGTATTATCGTAACGTTTGTTTAAGCCAACTATTTATGTATGTTATTGATCTTCTTCTTTTTTACATACCCACCGGGTGCCCCTACTACCACCTGCTTGCCTGCGCAAAACGTCTGAAATCCTGACGATTTGCATAATGAATAAAAAATAAAATAATAACAACACAGTCCTCGAGCGACGACGCGTCCCATCTGAAAGTTTGATATGCCACCCCCCACACGCTCCTACGCGTGGGTCACATTATTATTATTATTATTATTGTTGCGAAGCAGATGAAAATCTCCGGATAATAACTACCGTATTTATATTTTCAACGGTTATGGTTCAAGTTACACACACCTATAAAATATATAACGTCGCGGTGCCGGTGACAGTTTCGATGGGCACCATTGATAAGAAGCGCGAGGTGAATCTGCCGAGGATTATTATTATCATTGGACATATATTATTACTATATATGATTGCATATACCTATGTATAAATATATATATATATTATGTGTGTGTGTGTGTGTGTGTGTAATTTATTGGATATGAACATGACGATCTGCTGCAGCGGCACTCCTTCGCCCGTCCGCAGCGACTTTCGATTCACGCCGATCCTCTCGTCCGAATGCCATCGTATAATATGTACGATTTGTACTGCCATCGGAGGCACATAAAATCTACCTTTTATTTTATATTATATTATTATTATTATTATTATTGTATTCCTATATGTGTATACAGTTCATTAAAAATAAAATAGCAGTCTAACAATAATATCGTTGAAATTCTATTGCACAAGTATATTACATATATATGTGGTGTGTATATTTTATACGGCTAGGTATATGGGCAGGTACCGTATGGAGATTTTGATCGTATTGACCCTTGACATATTACTTTATTTTTTATTTCATTTTATTAGAGAGTTAACCTATGCCAACCCGGTGCGGTCAAGTCTACTGGTCCATTGTATAGTCTCGTGCGTATGATGTAAACATCCCATAACACTAAATATTAAATTGTCATATAAATATATACATCCTTAGGTATATACGCGTTTAACTTTGTATGTATATAAAAATAAAAAAAGCACCGACTCACGGTCAGTCACGGACGACTCTCGGGCCTAATAATGACGATGGCTTGGCGTGAGTACCTTTTTTATTTTTTTATTTTTTATTGACGTCATTAATCTTCTAAGCCACTCATGTGCATTCGTTACTTCGAATGAGCATAACATGCAGTTGGTGTCTCGTATAACCTGATTGGGATCCCGCCCCATCCCAGTGATCACTTAACCCCTATATTGTTAGGTAACAGATAACAGACGTCCACTGACAAAACATCCGTAGAACAATATAAACCTCAAATACCTACTTAATTTTACTGTAGAAGATGATAACAAATACTATAGATTAGTCTATAGATCAATCTACAGTATGTGGTGATAATAATATTATATATCATGATAATCCATAAGTGTTATTTGCTGTGGATCTGTAGTAAACAAAAATAGATATAAATACGCTTTACGGTTCTCGGTTATTTTTTTCTTACCAGCTTCGCGGATACGTATATACTATATTAAATTTATAAAATACGTTAGGTTCAATTCTTTTTATGGTCAATTATCGAGATATTTTTGTGTCTGGACCATCCTTGCAATTAACAAGCAAGGATAATTGGTGTTCTAATTACTAAATAATTGTTTACTATAAAAAATTCGAGAGCATCGATAATCAAACCGGATCATATTATACGTACGAGACAAAGTTCGCAGAGTATAATCCAAAACGATTGACGAACTGTATTCTTGTTCTACAATTTCAAAACGCTCACATCCTGCTTTACATTTCTCGGACGTTTCAGAGTACAAAACTAAATAACATTCCTGTAATCTGATAATAATAATGTATTCATCTCGCCAGGAGGTTCGAAACACATAGCTTATTAATGTGTATATTATAAAGTTGTAGTGTTTTGCTACAGTCGCCGGTTCTACCTGCCGAAGACCTATTTTGTAGCAAAAACCGATTGGAGGTGTGTTCCTTAAACCTTTGTAAAAACAGGTGAGGTGTAAGAAAATTTGGCTACTCCTTGTGAAAACTCAAGCTATGTGAAAACACGAACCATGGGAAAACAGTACCGTCCAAGTCATGTGTAGAGGTGTAAGGTTAGGTTAACTTGGAAGGAAAAAGGTGTTGCTCCGTGCAGTCCTCGTCGCGCTCAGTACGAGCACCGAGGGTGAGAACCTCAAGAATTCTTTGTAATATATTGGATAAAGCTGCAACTGCAGGTTAGATATTATAATAATAATTTTATGCGAATCTCTATCGCTCGGCGGTGGTCGTGCGGGTCGGATGTAGAGAATATTATTATATTATACCTGTGTACCTGTTGTTAATCTATTATTATATTATTACATGTAATATGGCAAACCGATAGAAAAATAATAGATTAACCATCGCCTCCGTTGTGGCCATTTTATTGTTTGTGATATTAGTATCATCATCATTATCATTATTATTATTATTATTATTATTATATCGTCTTGTCCGTGTTCTGTCCGGATGGCGGCGGCGTGTTGTACCCATATACCTATACCTCTCTATAGTAATATAATATACTTTACAGCAACTACTGCAGCGTAGTAGGTACTTGTATTATGATAATCAGCTACCCGTCTTTGATATCGTCGTTGCCGGCCGGTGTGTGTGTGTGGTGTCCGCTCTGCTCTTTTGTACATTATAATATTGTTGTTATTATTATTATTATTATTATTATTATATATAAATACGCGTGCGTGTGTGTCCGTGCTCGCTCGCGCCCATGTAAGTGTACGCGGACCATTTGTAAATCCATTATTGGATTATGTAAATGCCCTCTTGTTATGACTCTATTTGTATGATACCATATTATAATGCGATCTGAGGCTGAGGTGGGGGATTTTATATTATACCTTTATATTATTATTATAATACGCGAGCGGCGGCGGCGGCGGTCGTGTTACGGTTGGATCTTGGGGCTAACCAATATATATATATATATCTATGGGTAGGTTATTATATTATTATGAGGTAGGCATGTAACCATGTAGGTACTATTACAGGTACACACGGCGCACATCGTCGTACGTCCTTATTTTATTATTTATGCCGAGTTGAACTTTGGCCTCGTTTCTTATTATTGTACATTTTTTTTTCATTTTTTCATTTATCATCATTATTATTATATTATTACATTTTTTCCCCGTAAGTACGCCGCCACCCGAAGACGTTCTCGTCTATATTATATACTTTGTGCGTTAGACTAGATCGTCGTTGACTGTTGTTGATTTTTAATAGAAATTTAGACATTAAAATCCTGCTGACGGGTTAATGTAGGAGAAGGAATCTCGGCCGACAAAAAAATCACACACCTCATGTATTATTTTAAAACAAAATATTATTATTATTTAATAGCGAAATACGGTCGGGTTGGTTTTCGTCGTCGTCGTGTCATCGTTCCGTTAGTTCGTATATTATACGAAACAGTTAAGCGTTTCAAACAAATCGTAACGATTTCGTTCGCATATAATTTGACGTGCGACGACTACAGACGGACATTTTCATCGGCGGCAGCGGCAGCGGTTCTCTTTGTGCCCGCGCATACGATTATAATAATTAGTTTCACGAAAAAAAATAAAGAGAGAAAGAGAGATAAAACTAAATTGTTATTTTTTTTTAAAAAAACAAATACGAATGCGGTCGGTTATTATATTAATATTGCTGCACAAAACGTGTACAAAAATACACAATACAATGTATACATACACAATTTACGTATACAGAGAGCACGCTCGCGAGCACGGTTTTAAATGCGTGGTTTTTAAATATATAAATAAATAGACGCACAACATTTTTGCGTTTATGATTCACGTCAGACTTTCACCTAAAGTCGTACTAATGGATTTCTGACACCGGATAATTATTTCCACGATTCGTCTTAATAGCAAACTGCAGATGATTTCGCGGGCCGGCAACGACGTTGACGATGATGGTGACGTTCTTATTATTATATGCGGAGGAAGTGAATTCGTCGGAAAAAAACTCATTTCGCATAACCCGTTGACGTTTATGATACGAAATTTTGACAGCATCCGAAATAGCCGACCTTACGATGATTTTTTCCAGTATATACACATCATATTTGTATCAAAACACTTGTTGATTATATACTTATGTATATGGGTACCGTACCTATACTACCTACCTATAATGTCCCCTGCAGCTTTCCAACGGATACGTTTTCGGGTACAATACATTTATACTGGATATCCACATTTAATTTTTAAATGTTATATAGTCGTATGTCACAGATACAACAACAAAAAAAGGTCTTCTCGAGTTTTTAATCATAAAATAATAAGTTTGTTTGCTTTTAATAAGTATATAGATACACCTACGTGTTTTTAATTTGTTTCGGTTTGACTGATTTTTTTTTCATTAATAACAAAATACTATAGAGAATTCTCATTTAGGTACCTATAATTTTCGTTTTATGACATTAAAAATGTGGTTGTTTTATCTTAAAGGTGTAATACGTATAATAATCGTATTACTTATATTATATTATGAGGTACCTACATAATTATTAAATTTAATTAGCAACTAGAAGCATATTATGTACCTATACACTATACAGGGGGATTTTTGTAGCATTCTCACCAAATTTTTATGTTTAAAGTATACATATATTCAAATAATTTGATTTTTGTGATTTTTAAATAAACTTAAGACTATATTTTCGAGTCCTTGAAATTAATTGTACCACTTAAGGATGATTCTATGACAATACAAACGTATGTTTATCAAATAGAAACTCGCATTTCTCAATTTTAATTATTATAAAGCAAATATATTTTTTTTGAGAATTTTAATGTATCCAAATTAAAATTCAAGCTAGTAGTTTTTGAGTTATATAACTTTGTGTACTAAGTATAATATGTCTAAGGCAATGCGTACATTAAATATGGAGGCTTAAACGATTTGAAAAAGTGAATTATTTCTATTGATTCATCAATATAAATAATATATAAAAATGACCTAAGTAAAATAAATACAACATCTAATATTAACATATAACTTATATTTTTATAAAACCATTTTTAAAGATTATCATACTTAGTACAAACATTTTAATACTTCAGAAACTACTCATTAGAATTTTGATTTAGATACATCAACATTTGTAAGAAAATCATCAGCTAAATAATTTGCAGTAAAAAATAGGGATTCTCATTTGAATAATAGAAGTTTGTATCACCACTGAACACTCCTTAAGTAGTACCAAAAATATCAACAAATTGAAAATATTGTGTTTAGGTAAAAATGTACTATTAAAATGAAAAATAGGGGTGAGCATGCATAAAACATCTCCCTGTGTAATATACATAGTATATACACATATTTTAATTCACTATGCAGTCATAATAAAATTAATTTTACAATAATATTGTTACCAAACTAGTTATAAATTATAATTGGTAATAATTAATACATTTTTTGTGTGTACTGTCATGAGACAAATATGAGAACTGCACGTATGCTACTTAATGGAATATTTTTTTCAAATATCGTTATAGTTTCTATAAAATTAAAAGACAGGAATAACAAATATGTTGCAAAATCGTTTGAGTTTTAAGTTTAAAAATCATTTTTTAAGTAAAACAAGAGCTTTCCAAAAATGTATTACCCTAATAATTATGGTATTACATTTGTGAATAGTTATATACTTTGAATTATTTTGAGAAATTAAATTAATAAGGATATCAATTTATACATTTTAAGCCATTATTAAAGCATGTATTATGCTTGACGAATTTACAAAAAAAATTGTTTTCTTTATATTAAAACTCGAACAAGATTATTATTGTTATTTTCTATCGGTATATATGTATGTACAAATAACATCACAATACTATTTTAATACTTAAAAATCAAAAAGAAATAACACTGCTATTCTCATACTTCACGTACATTTATGTTATTTATTTATGATTAATGCTATTAACTATTTCAATATTATGAACAATTTCAAATATTGTATACAAAGAGTTTCAATTTTTATTGATTTACTAACATAAATTTAACCTTACAAGTTACAGTGTCAATAGAATTATAAAAGTATCAAGGGTTACTCATTATAGAGTAATTTACGTTGTTTTGGATGAAGAACAATCTTTCAACCAATACATTGATTTTATGTATAACTACTGAATGCCAATGAGAAAATGTGTAGTCAAATGGATATTCGTAACATTATCTATAGTGATAAAAATTGTCATAAATATTAAGTATAACTAATATATCTTATCATATAAAATACATTTTGTGAAGTTCAAGGACCATTTTCAAATATAATTTCTCTGATAAATTACTAATTGTCACTCAGTCATATTTATGTACTGTTGAATATTCAGTATAATTGATTACGGACAACAACCGATGGGTTTTGGAAATTGCACGTGGAAATGTTTAGACCGTTTGTGCACACATTTTTATAACTGGTACGGCTGAACCAAGCATTTGAAAATTGATAGATGGTTTAAAGTTTGCGCAGATATTATATTATAATAAGATGATATTTTATGCATAGGTAATCTAAATATTATAACTGCTTAACAAAACCAATAGTTTTTAAATAGGTACTTATATCACAAAATATTGTTGATTTTATGCCTGTCTTAAAATATGTTTTTGATGAATTAAAATAGTAAATATTAAATGTGTTTGATTTCGATATAATTAAATAATTTAATGTTTATTAATTATGTATGCATTTTAACCAACTTTTGTATGTAAGTTCGTTAGATTTGTGCTCAAACATTTCATTAAATCTCCAGTGAAATATTCAAAATATATGAAAATGGTTCACAGCCTTCCAATGCATACAATCTGCAGTGATTTATTTTATTAAAAACTTAAAACAAGTTATTGCTGCAAACGGCTGTTTGGAATTATATCAAATACGCATTTCTCTAGGTATGATAATTAATAAGCAACAATGTCAACAACGATATGATATACCTACTAAGCCTAGGATTGATTGAATGGATATACAATGAACTTGTGAACGGTACAAATACCAAATAAAATTTAAATAATTTATGCATCTCTTGGACAGCTGAAATTTGTCCAACAATAATTTATTAATTAGGTATCTAATTAAATACGTAAATAAACTGTTTTAAACACAAAATATTATAACTCGCGATTCTCGGCGCAGTTCTTTTCTGCAAATATGCTATGAATAAATTATTAGTGCGCAGATGTGCAGGTCGAGAGAGAGAAAAAAAGAATACCTAATAAATAAACGAGAAATGTTTATCAAACTACGATCGATTACACATTTGCAATAGGTACAAGTGTTTTTGTCTACCGTATATTCCACTTGTCCGACTTTTAAGTATTACATCTTCGCGACATTTTTTTTCTTCCACTTTTCACTGTATCTCGGGTTCTTTGAAACCCGTCATTTTCTCTTTATATACAGTTGTTATTTCATTCATTCTGTCAGTCTCTATTGAATTATATTATAAAAGAAACGCTGTTTATCTTCTTCCTCCGCAGTGCAAACCCGATTGGCCTTAAGCCGAAGACGTTTAAGCCTACCGATTACCAATACCGTGTGTAAATTCACCTTTTCTAGATTTTTTTAGTTCCATTCTTCTTTATATTTATCGCCGATGATTCAAATCGTTAATGAAAATCGATATTGTAAATCGTAAGAATTAAATTTCATGATATTATAATATAATTGTGATTATAATATATATTCTATGAGAAAAGTTTCGGAATTTTACAATGTTATGTAGATGATATTTACTATAGTTATAATATGTGGCCAATAATTGAGCATAAAACTTATCAAAAATAATGACGTAGATGTCTTATTTTTTTCTTCAAAATATATAGTTGCTTATATCAACGCAAACTAACCTTACCTACATACAAAACTATTACTATTATGATCGGCTAACAAAATAAATGCGAATAAGATTCGATTTCAATCCGTCATAGTATTATCTTACTGAACACCAAAAAAAAAAAATCGAATTCAGATTAAAATATCCTTTTTTGCACGATTATAAAATATAATATGTATTCCAATAGTAAATTAAATGAATTTTTCCGAAGGTTAATTTATCGTGTACGGATATCTGATGATTTCGTACACAGAACCGTTATGGTCGATGGCTCAGAATTGATTCTAAAAACAAATACCTAAATATTAGCACTCAGCAGTGAACAATATTATTGTAATAACTACAAGACCAACGGCCGGAAACTCGCCGCAGAAAAGCTAGAAAATTCAGAAACCTACAATCTACGACCTACTTAAAATGAAGATAAACTGCGGGCTCGAGTATGACAATAATATTATATTATTTATTTAAGGGTAAGAACTCGATTACATAAGAATTATAATTTAGTAAATTAAATATTGTATAAATAACTACGTAGCTAATAATCTAATAATTAAAAATCACAGAAATAAATCTAATAAAAATGTTGTCTTACAAAACTATTGGAAGAATTAATAGAATTTAGACTGAAATTAAAAAAAATCAACTGTCGATAGACATCATTCAATTTATTTGAGCGTGTAATGCATGATTTGTTTTTCAATTATTTAGATGGAATGTAGTAATTATTGATGATCTAATTCTAAATTAATTAACCGGAGAAAAAACTTAATAGCTCTGGACTGGAGAAAAAACCATTCAGTAGTTCGAACAAAAACATTAGGTGATTAATTTTTCTTCCTTTTGATAAGCTTAGGATATTTAACGTACCTAACAATGGTTGATAAGACGAATGAGGTACACGTATATATATAGGTACTTACGACATCCGAGGTGGATGAAGTGGTGTGACGAGGGTCGGCGGGCCACCAGTGTGGTAGAGACGATGGCCCATGGGCGCCCTGACCGGGTCCAGTGTTCATGTCCGGCGTTCGTCATCGGTCGTCATCGTTGGACGAGCGACGTTCGAGTGCTGTGTGCTGACGGTCGTCTGTCGTCACCTGCAACCGATTGCCGGCGGATCGCGCGACCGGACCATCGCACGTCGCGAAACCGACGATAGTAATACGAGATTGGTAATATAAAACAAATGAAAACAAAAAAAAATATGTTTAACTTGGATGAACGGCGACGCGTGTAGTCGAGTTAGTTAGTTGTATGATTGCGATCGGAAAAAACGAAACCCGCGGCAAAAACGGTGTTTTAGAGTGTATAACTATAAAATATGTTATCGTTAAATTTATAGGTAGGCACTCGTATAGTTTTATTGTTATTGTATTAATTGTCGATCCCAGTGACCGCGGGGCCTCTCAAAAACGAAATACCTAAATACTATTATGTTCCTGAGTGAGCTATTATTATCACGTCGAAAACGACCGGTTAAAAAAAATAAATTTGGAATTTAAAAAAATGTCTTAAACCTTTGCGGGTCCGACGCTATAAATTTCGTACCACGTCGTCGTTGACTGCGATGGTAGTACCTATACTATATCGCGTGTACGCTGTGGCCGCGACGGGATCGCCGGCAATAATGGGACTGAGCGCGCCGGGCACGTGTGATCGTCCGAGACGGAACCAGAACCGAACCAGACCGGTTTCGTCTCCTACCTAGCGCGCCGCGTCGTCTTCGCGCGGAGCAGTCGTCTTCTTCTCCTTCGTCTTCACCTCGCGGCCCCCTTATCCTCCTCATCAGCCACGACGTCTTCGCCCCGTGGTCATCGCGTTCTTCCGCCTCGCTCCTTCCGCAATGCCACCTCCCTAGACGCTGCCCACCCAGGTCTTGCTCCTTCTACCGCGCACGCTACTTCCTGAACACCGCCGAGTACCGTATACTATTCGTCGTTCCTCAACTTCCTCCTCCCCCTCCTCCTTCACTCCCTGCGTAAGTGCTGCACTACTGTGGGGCTGTGTCCGAATACATATTATAATGTCTGACTTTATAATAATTATTGTTATAAAACAAGTACCTTAGAGGTATGGCTAAGTGTAAAGGTGCTGTGGATTTGCGCGCAGTATTTCCAAAAGTTTAAGAGGAACGAACAAAATTCGAATAAATTATATATCCAACGGTTTTTTTTGTAATTCTTCGAAATATCGAACGTTTGTGTAAAACACGCCAGATACCTATTATTAAAGTTTTTTTTTTTAAATTACATTTAAAATACTAGAATTTCCGAGAATTGACTGTATGGTAACACGCCTACAATATAATTGACCTCCGTGTAATATTGAAACATAGGGGTCATCAAATGGTGGCTTGTGAAAAAACTTTACAGGAAAATATTTTCGAAATCATATTTTTTTTATGGCGATTTATTTAAGGTTTCAATTAATTAAATTGTAGATTTAGATTTTGCTCTTATTGTCTTTTGATAAAAATGAGTACAGAAAATTATCATGGTTACTGAAAAGTGAAAACTTCCCAAAGGGATCCTTCAAAAATATTAATCGGTGACACTGTTGGAACATGTACTTTACACATCATGATGCATTTTCCGGCTATTTTAACAAACCTATATTTTCCCCCACACAAACCTCTGCGAAAAACTACTTTAACGTAGTATATATTAGTCATGCTGAGATGGTTATTAATATAGCCCGGATTTATATGCATTTGCACATTTTGTTTCAATAGCCCAAAAAGTAGCTAGAAAATAAAATATTGCATATTTAGACCATTTAAAATTTGTATGCATAGTTTAGCATTTTTCTAAAATATAATGCATATTCACGAAAAAAAAATAGTATTAGGTTATTAATGATAATACCTAACGCCATTTCCTATGTAAATCCCGCGAATGTGAAGTTTTTCTTGATTCAAGAATATATTTGCTGAAAACCGACGTACATTCTTATTTGAAAATGTATCCAAGTCTTTAGTTATTAATTACTCATAGTAAGTTACTCACATAAATATGGTGTAAAGCTAAAAAGCTTTTATTTAGCACGTTCCGCAGCCTCAGAGAATAATACATTCGATGGCCCAATAAATTTATATTGTATAATATATAGGCAATATATATACGCTACACGACGTCGACCTCAAAACGGTAAATGTTTAAAAATTCGTGAACGGTACTTAAATGAACCTAATGTGTGATTTATCTAATAAAAAAATGTACATACTTATCTAGTTATAAAATTAATAGAAATTGTTTTAGTTAGGTAGGTACTATAATTATATAATATATAGGTACAACCGTTATGCAGTTATTAACAATTCAAACTTAATTTTAACTGGAAAAAGTTAAACTTGATCTAAATATTTTTTAACTTCAACTTTAAAATAAACAATTTGTAATTTAATTTTTACAGTAAGCGAGTACCTATGCTGAAATATTTTTAAGACTTGAGACACGTGAAAAAAGTGCCACCCAATGGCGACACTTCACATCGGAGCTTGTTTAATTTTAATTAGGATTTAGGATGTAATATTATAGTCGACCTAATCACACAAATACATAAAAATGAAATAATTAATAAACTATAAAATATACCGATTTTGGTCACAAGTGATAATTAGTGTTATATACATTGTCTTTTAATATAATAATATTATATTGTATAATTAATACATGTTTTGACTCTAAAGTTAATAGCTACAGCGCTAAAAGTTTTTAACTGAAAGTCTATATAACTTTCCGACTTCAGCTGTTTTATATTATATCACTGATTCAATACGAATGACGGGTATCAGATAAAATAATACTTATGTGTATATTTAAGACCAACTCTAAACCTATAATAATATTATATTATGAATATAATATTATACATATAGAAATTATAGCAATATCGCATATACCTACCTATAAATAATATAACGTATGCGAGGCGAAGAACTTTTACAATACATACTTTAATTTCGTATTAAACATAATGTATAAAAATATTATGTTTATGTGCGTTTGAATATAAGATATTTTCAAAATGTTATTAATTTTAGTATACCTAATAATATATAATATTATAGCGTTTATATTATTATTATTATTATTATTACATTAGGACAGTGGGCAGCAAAAATAAATGTTTTAATACGACATATATTATAGGATATTTACTGTATATTAAATATTTTATATTACATTATACACTATTAATGTGCGCGACTTAAAAGAATTATATTTCACCTTCGAATGATAGCGTAAATGATTCAAAGTTTTTCGAATTTTATGTTTATTCCCGCAATATGTTCAATATAATACGTACCGATACATTATATATAGGTAGGTAGTATCTCATATACGCGGAGATTATATGTCTTTTTTCTTTTTTATTTTACAACCTCGCACATATATAATAATAATAATAATAATAATAATAATAATAATAATAATAATAATAATAATATAATATAATCCTTAAAACGATTACGTACCCATAATGGATACATTGAGCGGATATTATAATGTATGTACATGCGTGTATCTCACGACCCAGTGTACCCATGCGACGGATCTCATACACGCGGAACACATTCAATAAGAATTCGCACGATTGGCCTGTCGGTTTGGGGGGGGGGGGTCAAACGTTGTGAATGATTTTTCGCGCCACCCAAAAGAATGTTGCGGAGGTCGTGTCGATGTGCGTATAATAATATGTATACGCTATACATATTATACTTCTCCTCCGTTAAAATATAATTTTATTGCTCGCTCATGTCGTATAGGCACCAAACGGCACTAAATTAAAATACACATATAGGTATAATATGCGTATCGTATGTCAAACAGGTATTAATAAAACTATTTTAAATAATGTGTATGCACTCATCCTGTATATTATGCGTATAATGCACCCATATAATAATAATATAATATAAAGATACACAGGGTGATTCACCTAGCCATATCAATATAATATACTCAACCATCTAACCCCGTTTTTTTTAATTTGACAATAAATTCTGATTTTTGGATTAGTCGAGATCCTATTATAATACCTATAATAATATTACAAGTACACGTACTAAAACAGTATTTTCAAATACTCATATTTTTTCAAGCCATTTATGCTAATCTGTCCTGCGGTGAATACAAACTTCTTTTTTTCAAATAAGAACCACCTTCTTACTGTAAATGGGTATTGCTAAGCAGGTGTTTTTTTTTTTTAATTTTGATTTATGTAATCTAAATTGAAACGAGTTGTTAATCCTAATGTACCTACTGAAGATAATTATTGTTTTTTTCATAAAATATAAAATATATGTACCTTAAATATTTAGTCTACTATACTTATTGTACATACTGTGATAGTTTTTACGATATTATAAGATACTAATTATATCTTATAATATTAATTAATTTAATTTACAAATCGTCATGGTTCCCTATTATGACTATCGTCCTCAGTACTTGCATTTTAGTCAATTAACCAAACAGTCTTTGGGACTTGGCCACTTGGGTATATTCTGAAATAGGTCCAGTGGTCCAGATTTCACTATTTGAATAGACGGGGAGAAATTGCTTGGTGAATCACCCTGTATTATATTATATACATTTATTATATTGTGCGTGAGTGTATACGTGAATTATGTAAATAAAAGTAATACGCGAAGAGGATTTAGAACAGTCGTTCGTGCCAACATTGCCGTTTTAACGACTGCACCGGAGAGCTGCGGATTGATAAGGATGCAAGGAAATAATTAGAGATTAGATACATACATATAATATTATTATACTTTTCGCCATCAAATTACCCGACGTCTTGGATGTGTTTCAACACCGGTGCGTGGGGGTTTTTGAACTGGGCGAGTCAATTAAACGAATGAAAAAATACAGGTTCATCTTGAAAGAATTCTTGACCTCTGTCTATAAAAATATAGGTGTATTTAAAAAAATAAATAAATAAAAACGTATGCATTAGAATTACAACATTCATTATAATCTTCTTGTACCTACCGACGTTTGAAATATAGTATATACCTACGATTTTATTAAGAAATGAAGCGTGTCGGAAATGTTATGCTAAATATTCTAAAACCACGTAAATTATATTATTATTATACATTATTATGCTTGTCTGCATCGTCGCGACGTTACGTTCCTATTTGATAGTTTTCAACGTTGTAATACATATTATAATAATATCTATACTTATATATTAATAGACTTAATAGGAAAATACGATGCAATGCATTATGCAGCTTCATCAGGTAGCCAATCAAATGGCGTTACGATACATATAGCTGCAGGTAATACGCTACTATTATACAACATATTAATATTATTATGTTAAAGCGCTTTTAATGATTTTTGAGTGACGTATATAATACACTGCCTACACAACGCTAGTGATGCAATTTGAAAAATGGTTTTGAATAAGACCAAAGGGCCTTCATCTCTTCGGTAAACTAAAAATCTCAAGCAAATCGATCGTATTCATATGATATAATAACACGAGTTCAGCTGACTAGTGATGGCGGTGACAGAGAGTGTAAATCACGACGAGTGCGAGTGATTTACACTCTCTGTCACCGCCAGGTAGAGCTGAGCTAGGGGACGTTAGCCAAGGAAACTGAAGAAAGCATTTCAGAGTCCTGCATGTGCGTGACTCCTCTGCACCGGAAAACCACTGGT